GACATAAACCCTACAAAGATTTCAGGATGTTTTGGGACTTAGGCTGATTTTGCACTGACATTTACCACAATGCTATTCATCCATCCATCCCCCACCAATCTGAGGTCATAGAACTAATTTAGAAGAGAAACCCAGACATCCTGCAGTGATGGGATATCACGATGTTCCCAGACCAGACAAGACATTGGGTCCTTCCAGTAAGTTCTGGGTCTCCTCCAAGTTTTCCTGCCTGGTGAAATGTGCCCAAAAACACCTCCACACCACAAAGAATCCTTGCCAGAAATCCTAACAACCTCAGTTGACTCCTTTAGACGAGGAGGAGCAAAAGCTCTCCTCTGACCTTGGTCAAGATTAACAGATACTAAAGCTCCTGGTTTTAACTTGAAATTAAATAAAATCGACAACTCACAAATAATTCATCAGAAGTAGATTCCTTTGACAAAATCTTTATTGGTTCTGTATGATCACGCAGGGTTTTAAACATCGTTCAGTAAATACTCTAAAACTTGCTTTTAGCACATGGAACATCACCTAATTACATGTTTTAATATCACTAAAATCACCTAAAACAAAGGATATATTTGGTCTTGATACCAATATTCCCTAAGGTGTGTAAGTCAGCAGCAGTCATGCCAGTCCATCAAAGCTAAGACCCCTTATCCATTTGTAGTTACAGGCCAATCAGTAGCCTGCTAACAAGTTCTGAAGTTGCAGTGAAATTCATCCCTAGACAAATAGTCCCCCATTTGAACATCATTTCATTTCACAATTCTGAAATTTGGTTTTAGATCTAAAACTACAAAGATCAACAACTGCTTCCTCATTGAAAATGTTAAATGCCTATTAGGTAAAGCTGGTGTGGTCAGTGCTGTGTTTCTTGGTCTGAAGAAAGCTTAACCACCTGTAATAATAAAAAATTGTTGACCAAACTAAAGGAATTAAATTTCTCATTGAGTGCCTCAAAAGTGATTCAATTATATTTATCTGACCAATCTCTATAAATCTGAATCCTCTCACCTTTCCTTCATTCTTGAGGTGTCTCACTTGGATCTATTAGCGACGGTGGCACAGGAGTTAAGTGCTCGCCCCGTAATCGGAAGGTTGCAGGTTTGAGCCCCGCTCAGTCTGTCGCTGTCGTTGTGTCCTTGGGCAAGACACTTAACCCACATTGCCTGCTGGTGGTGGTCGGAGGGACTGGTGGCGCCAGTGCTCGGCAGCCTCACCTCTGTCAGTGCAGCTGACGGCTACATTGTAGTTCATCCCCACCAGTGTGTGAATGTGTGAATGACTGATTGTGTTGTAAAGCACCTTGGGGGGTTCCAAGACTCTAGAAGGCGCTATATAAAATACAGGCCATTTACCATTTATCCTAAGACCATTGTTTTTTTTAACAAATTTCCATTACAAAGTAACAACACCAAAATTCAAATGTATGCAGATTTCTAAGTACAGTCAAGTCAAAGTCAAAGTCAAAGTCAATTTAATTGTCACTTCTGCCACATGTACAGGACATACAGAGAAATGAAATTACGTTACTCTCAAACTCTCGCTAGATAGAAAATAAACATTTAGTATAAAAACAGTAACCAAGTTCAGAGAGACTGTGGGGGAAAACAGAGGAGAGTTGGGAGAGCTGGGAGGGAGTTTAGTCCTAGTGCTTAAAATGCAATGTAACTAAAATAGTTACTGTGTTTTTCTCAAGATCCAAAGGACCCAGTGGCCTGATGTCTATGTGTCAGGGGAGATAATTCAGGTTGTTGCTGAATAATTATACCTAGGAATCTTATAGGATTATAAATTAACCTTTAAATCCAAGGTGAACAGGGTCTGTACTTGAGATAAATTCAGCATTTTGAACTTCTGTTTCATAAGGTCACACTTATCCATGAAAGCAAGTAAAATATAAATGGATGCTATGGTCATGTCACATATTTTCTAATGTTTGACAACTTGGTCACAGACAAATTCAACTGCACTAAAACCTGTATAGTCTGTATAAACAGACAAATAAAAAATAGACAAGAAACATCACAGTTTCCCTGCAAAATACTACTAAAGCACAACTTAAGTTGGGAGAGCATCACAAATATTGTAAATTGATATCTGTTATACAAAACCATTCATAGTATGTCCTCTCTACCATTTAGCCTGCTTGTAAACATTGGCACTGATTCATCATTCGTCTACACATTCAACTACGGTCACAAGCGTTCGGTAGTTTGAATGATATTGCGGATTCAAGCATCCGAAATGTGTTTTCTCTGCAGAGTGGCTGACTCTTCCTTAGAGAAAGGGTGAGAAGCTTGGTCATCTGGGAGGGGATTGGACTAAACCGGCTGCTCCTCCACATCGAGAGGAGCCAGTTGTGGTCGTTCAGGCACCTAGTAGGATGCCTCCTGGAGGGACTATGTCTCTCGGCTGGCCTGGGAATGCCTTGACACCCCCAAAGGAGCTGGCACAAGAGGCTGGAGAGAGGGAAATCTGGACCTCTCTGCTTAGGCTGCTGCTGCTCCCGCTACCATGGATAAGCAGATAAAAGTGGATGGATGAATTGCAGATGAAAGTGGATCGATGGATCAGAATCAGAATCAACTTTATTGTCAATGTACCAGTGTCCTGGGGCATAGAATTTTGTCTCCACAGCTCAACCTGACCAAGGTTGAACACACAACATGTAGAACCAAACAGGTTACAGGCAGACCACAAGAGCAGTCATACAAAGCAGATGGATGGATGGTTGGATAGATGGCTGGATGAAATTCATAAGTGATGATAATTCTAAAGCTCTTAACTGCTGATCTCATGTTTGACGCACACACAATCTTCCTAATCTTGATTGTCCAATATTTGATTGAATTGTTTTAAATATTAAAAATCCTTTCAGAGACCAGATTATGGTTACAACAAATGTATGTCATGCTTTGTACAGCAAACCACTTTTTTCTATACATCACGATGTTTTAGCTATAGTGTTGCTCAGATTACAGCTTTTCTCAACAACAAAAACTCAACCAGTGACTCGGTCAATAGTTTAAACTTGTTCCTTGTGAAACCAAATTTTGTTTTAAGCTTAATCTATTTGAACAAAGTCGGTGATTTAAATAAATATAAATAGATAAATTGGCAACCGAGCCAAATCTGATGAGATAAAACGTGTACGTTTTGAAGTTGCTTGGATAATTCTTGACCAATTTAAAAGCCATATTTTAGCTCTACCACTAGATGTCAGTATATTCCCAAATATCTTTTTGCTTTTCTTTGAAGAAGGCAGATATTTTGCTTAATATTTTAGTGTTCTTGCATGCTTTACGAAGTTATTTCTTTAAAATGTGTTTATTTTGTTACTTTTTTATTCATTTTCTGGTCAATCATCAGAATAGACCATCACAGTCAGTGTAGGCAAATTTCCAATGTGTGTTTAAAATAAATAAAGTGGATCACTGAAGGTCAGAAGAATACATTTCAGGCATATATTAATCCAGAGCAGGATAACAAATTCTGAAGGTCACATATAGACAGGGAAAAAACCCCGAAAAGACCTGAGATATGTCATCAAACAGCTGATCATCTGCATACGTTTTCAGCCTATAGCTCCAATCTTTTATTTTTCTAAAAGTAGTATTTTTAAATAATAAAATTATAAAATACAATTGTACCTTTTTGTCAAGGTGAAGTAGCAACATGTCTGCAGGATGTCTCAGCTTTAAATGTGTGGGTCACTGAAAAACTTTTTAATGATTATTTCTGATTTTAATTGGTCAATCTGACCTTTTCATGCAGGCTTAAAATGAAAATAATTTTCTACACATATCTCCTGCATTAGCTTCTGAAAAAAAATAGATGGTGAAACACTAGGATTTGAAAATCCTGACAGATCTACGTCACACTTAACATTCACAGACTCACCTATCTTGACTTAGAACAGGGAAGGCTGTTGTTGGTTTAGCATCAAGGAAACAGCAGAGAACGTCTTGACTAGTAGAAGCTACTGTTAGCATTAGCAACTCCACCACACAGCAGAACCTCTTCAGGCTTGTGTTTGGTGGAGATAAAACATCAATGTTGCAAGGCAAACCGAGTCAGTGGTAGAGGTGCGTTACTATTATCCAATCAGAGGTGAGATGTCCAAATATCAGGACATAAGACTCCAAATCCTGCCGTCTTCAGCTCAGCTCTGATGTGGCTCAAGCTCCTGGAACAGGTGCATCTGACCCCTTTTCCCTGAGTTCGACTTACAATGCATTCATTCTTACTAGAGACTACTTCAAGCTCTTAGCTCATCAATCTGGTCAGAAATAAATTTCATGTCTCGAACTGATGGCATGATGGAATGAGTATGAAATTAAAATAAAACAAAAACAAACACCAAACAAACAATGCAAAAGCCCTTTTAGAAAGGCCTGAATATATACTGTAAATCACCATTTAATTCTTTATTCAATAAAGAAAAAATATATAATGATAAATTGAATCAGGGACAAACTCAAAACTTTCAAGTTGTACAAATAAACAAGTGAACTAAATGAATACATTTTTATAATGTTATTAATCCAGTATCTGTTTTTATCTTGTCAAACAAGGTGGAGTGCACCTTGTTCTTTGCAAAATGTGTCAGGGACATTAAATATTATAAGTAAATAAAGAGCCTAAGGTCGAGTCATAATTTGTCAAACTATAACAAACAAGACATCACATGTCTAAAGGTTTACACGGTATTCAAATGGTCACATTTATAACAACAACAACAACAACAACAATAATAATAATAATAATAATAATAATAATAATAATAATAATAATAATAATAATAATAATAATAATAATAATAATAATAACAACAACAACATGCAGTAAAATTTAAAAGTACACAAATGGAAATAATTACTATAGTATTTTCTCATCACTATTAAAACTTCAATAATTTGTTGTGTGTGAGATCCATCGAGATCCCATTAAGCCCGAGCGGAAATGTGGTTTTCCTAACAGGAAGCTGTCAGCAGCGTTGTTGTTGCTAGTGGGGACTGTTGTGTTGTGAAAATGGCGACGCCTCGTCGCTCCTCTCAGCAGCAGCAGAGTTCCCTTCTCTCCTCCCCTCCCCGCGGTCCCTCTCTCCCCGACACCCCGCCTGGCTCTCCGCCGGGGCCAGCCGATGATGCTGCCTTGCTTCCCCATGGAGCAGTGATGGACAACCGCGCAGACGGTGAGGCAGCGCCGACCTCTCCCAGCACCACCTCCCCGGTACCCCAGGCCCTCTCATCCAGCAGCAGCAGCAGCGGCGGTGGTACTAGCAGCAGCGCTAGCTCCCCGACCACCACCGAGGGAAGCGAGGCTAGTCCTGGCTCTACGCCCGATTCCAGTAGTGGTGACCCGGGTAGCAGCGGCGGCGCTAACGGGACCTTTAGGGAGCTGTTTGAAGCTTGTCGGAACGGGGATGTTTCCAGAGTGAAAAAGCTGGTGGATGCGGTGAATGTGAACGCCAAAGACATGGCTGGACGCAAATCAACTCCGCTTCATTTTGCTGCAGGTAAACGCAAGAAAAGTGGCATTTTTAACACATCTGGCATTTTTTCCAGACTGTTTTGATGAGGCGCAGAGTTCTCAGACAGAAGATCAGCACAGGTTGCAACAGATTAGTTAAGTCTGAAAAGTGCTTCGATAAAGTATAGCAGATTTTAAAATGACAACTAGGACTAAACCTTTCTGGTATTCATTGGCTTTTTGTCTTTATTTTCAAAGCTTCATTATTGAAATCTGACATGTTTATTTTGTATGTCAGAATCGATTCCTAAAAATGTTTGCGTTTTAAGTCCTACAAAAGCGAATCAGCCATTGGTTTGCTCTGATAGATTTGCAGCAGGTAAGAGTTATGTAAACAGATGAAATGTTATGTTAACACGAGACCAACACCTGATCATATTATGTCCACCAGGTGGGCATATCCTATCTAGTCAGTGTAGAAAAACATAAGCCAGTGATTCATTTATCAGGCTGATTGAGACAAAGCAACAATAAAAGTTGTTTTTGTGCAACAAGCTAAGCATGATAACATGATTATTAATCATGGTTCCAGGTTTTGGTCGGAGAGATGTGGTGGACCACCTGCTTCAGATGGGCGCTAATGTGCACGTGCGAGATGACGGTGGGCTGATTCCTCTCCACAATGCCTGCTCCTTTGGTCATTCCGAGGTGAGATGCCAAACCGCTCTGATTATTCAGCAACTTCCGTCTCTCCGTTCGTTCGTTCTTTCTTTCATTTTCATCCGCTTATCCGGAGTCGGGTCGCGGGGGCAGTAGCCTAAGGCGAGAGGCCCAGACTTCCCTCTCCCCAGCCACTTGGGCCAGCTCCTCCAGGGGAATCCCAAGGCGTTCCCTGGCCAGGTGAGAGACATAGTCCCTCCACCGTGTCCTGGGTCTACCTTTAGGTCTCCTCCTGGTTGGACGTGCTCGGAAAACTTTACCAGGGAGGCGTCCAGGAGGCATCCTGACCAGATGCCCGAGCCACATCAACTGGCTCCACTTGATGTGGAGGAGCAGCGGGTCTACTCCAAGCCCCTCCCGAATGACCGTGCTTCTCACCCTATCTCTAAGGGAGAGCCCAGCCACTCTTCAGAGAAAACTCATTTCAACCGCTTGTATCCGTGATCTCGTTCTTTCGGTCACTACCTCATGACCATAGGTGAGGGTAGGAATGTAGATCTACCGGTAAATCGAGAGCTTTGCCTTCTGACTCAGCTCTCTCTTCACCACGACAGACCGGTACAACGCCTGCATCACTGCAGATGCAGCACTAATCCGCCTATCGATCTCACGCTCCATCTTTCCCTCACTCGTGAACAAGACCCCAAGATACTTAAACTCCTCCACTTGGGGCAGGACCTCATCCCTGACCCGGAGAAGGCATTCCAGGCTTTTGTCCTCTTGGCTCCTGGCCACAGAAATCAAACTGACATACACTTTCTTATCTTTTAAAGGGTTTCAGAACTTTATTGGAGAGCACCAGCTCTTACAGTCATTTACAGGAATTACCAGCTGCAGACTAAATAGGATGCTCAGATGCTGCAGGACATAGCAATTGATTAATCTCCATGTTTATGTTTTTATGGTTGGGTATGGTAACAGAATTTGATAATAATTGCAGGTGAAGGGTTAAAAAATGTCTCCCTTTTCAGCGTTATAGCTTATCAGTGTTGGGCAAGTTACTTCAAAACTGTAATGCATTATTACTTGTTACCCTCATTTTAAAGTAATTCATTACATTACAATATTACTGATTTTAAAATGTAAGGCATTACACTACTTTTGCATTACTTTAAGTTACTTTCACCAAAACAACTTCAATATGAATCTGGTAATGTGACTCTCAGTTAGCTCATGACATATGTGTGCAAGGTGATGTGGTGTCTGAGCTAGGATTGCTGCTAAAAACAGTCAGATATAATAACAGTGCTTTAACATTATTGTTTATTAAATAAAAGCAACAACAATCTGTACTCTCACCATGCTGCCATCTTATATTAACTGAGCAGGGAGTGAGGTGGTAGGGGCTCCAAGCCTATATTTGCCTTGGTCCCCAAATGCCTTGATACGGCCCTGGATGTGGGACTGACTTCTGGGATGATCTGATTCTATCACAGGTATAAATATTAAATGCTTATATATTATTGCTTTTCACTGGTAAAAATGTGTATTGGGGATAAATCTACCTACTTTTTTCTTTTTTTCTTGATTTTATGTGAATAATTTCCTGCCCTTTCTCTCTCTAACCTTCCTGCATGCTGCATGTTTTCTCCGTCTTCCAGAAAAACTGTTTCCTAGACTTCCTACTTTCTAACGATCAGCCAGAGGGATCTTCACATGCGCGGCGCTCCAGCAGTAATGAGTTGAAATCACCGGGGCACAGATTATGAACTCAGCTGAGGCAAAGCACGTCAGAAAAGCACAAAATACCAGAGAATATGCGCTGATATGAACGATCGCAAGTGAATTATTTTGTTTTAGTGGAGCGATTTTGTGAACGTTACAACGGCCGCATGCAGGACGCAGCTGGAGTAGTTGAGCCATTACCGCGGCGTCCTCTCTGCCCGCAAAGCTGAGTCCATAAATGACGTAATATATGCAGATACTGGATCTTTCATCGGGTTTCCCGCAATTTGAATTTTTAAGGAACACACCTTGATTCTGGGTTTAAAAATGCATTGTAATTACCGCGTTTCTGACAATTGTACCGAGTAAATATTACCATTTTCTTTCCCTGCAATGCCTTACATTACCACATTACAGCAAAAAGCAATGCATTACAGTAATTAATTAAAGCTGCAAGCAGCGTCGTTCGGCCCTCGCAGTGAAGCTGCTCGCCCTCTGTCCGCACCCCCTCCGCTCCATCCCCGATGCTCTCCAAACCCAGCTCCGCGCCGCTCCGTTCTGGCCGGCAGCCGGGGGCACCAGGGCACGTCTGGCGGAACAAAAACATCAACCACCCCGACACCAGAAACCGTGAACGGCCTCCTCGTCCACACCTCACCCTGACTCAGCATCCCCTTTGAGCCCAGCATTACACGTCTCACCACTAGGAGACACTCTATCTTTACCACACTGGTGATGTGATGTTCAGTCTCGGGCAAATCGGAGGCTGTTTGTGGAAGTTACAGTCAAACGTAAGGTCACAGCGTCACGCCAGAATTTGCCATGGCATCAAAGCCCCTCCCTTTCTGAAAAGCTAGCAGATCTGAATGGTCATTACAACATCATGAAGACAATGCATGACCTTAGTGTCATGTTGACTAAATTAGAGGGGACAAATATGGGCAGTTCACCATAAAACAGTAGACTTCCTGTAGTCAGGGGGCGGGGCTTAGGTGATGTCAGCTGTCCACATTGTCGCTGTCTTCAGATGTAGTCAGTGATCACACAGACAAAGTTTGAATTTGATCTGATCATGCACATGGAAGTGATTAAGTCAAGTAACGTAATGGCGACTGGTCAAAGTTTGAGGCTTAGCCACGCCCACACCTTTATACTTATTTAAAATCCGACGGTTGAATTTTTTCCTCTACGTCTTAAGAGTATGTAGCAGGAGTTTGAAGGTGATCGGTGGAAAGGACGACGAGACATCATTCTCCTAATAACGTGTGCGAAAACCACTAAATCGAGTACTTGGACCAAAATGGCTGACCTCCTGTGCGATATTGCGCTTGGCTCCAAGAGACTTTTTTGTAGGTCCTGAGACACTACATTAGTGTGCCAAATTTCGTGATCCTCAGTCCAAGCATGGCTTGGGGCTGACAGTTTTAATGGTCCTAGGGGGCGCTATTTCAGAAAATAGGCCACGCCCACAAACTTCAGCTGTCCAATTCTATTAGGGGTCAGATTAGGATCACTCATCAGAAATTGTGTGGCGATGTCACAATGATTGAAGAAATAAGAGACAAACGTATTTCCATGGCTTGATGGTGAAATTCGCCATGCTCCCAAAGCCCCGCCTTTATTCGAAACCTGCCAGTGCTATAGACCAAGTGACCTCAACTTGTCTGCTGCTATTTGCCAGTGATTGCTGGTGATTGGTTAAAAGGAGTCCAATAGGGAGCTGTGAAAAAAAGAGTGGCGTGGCGACAGATCAAAGTTTGAGGCTTAGCCACGCCCACACCTTTATACTTATTTAAAATCCGACGGTTGAATTTTTTCATCTATGTCTTAAGAGTGTATAAAAGATGTTTGGAGGTGATTGGTGAAAAGGGTGTTGGTGCAACACTCTCCAAACAACGTGTGCGAAAACCACTAAATCGAGTACTTGGACCAAAATGGCCGACTTCCTGTACGACTTTGCACTTGGCTCCAAGAGACTTTTTTGTAGGTCCTGAGACACCACATTAGTGTACCAAATTTCGTACTCCTCAGTCAAAGCATGGCTTGGGGCTGACAGTTTTAATGGACCTAGGGGGCGCTATTTCAGAAAATAGGCCACGCCCACCAGGTGTTGACATCTGATTCTTTTGGGGGCCGGACTAGGATCACTCCCAAGAGGTGTCGTGGCGATATCTCTAGAAATGACGAAATGGGAGGCAAACATATGTCCACGTCGGTACGCCTGACTTCGCCGCACCGCCACAGCCCCGCCTTCTGCAGAAAACTCTCATAAAGTGACGCCAAGAAACCCCAACTTGTCTTCAGTTACCTGCTACAAATCTGAGATGATTATTTGAAAGGGCGAATTTTGGAAAATTTCCCAGTAAAACTTGACCTTTTAAGTCCTGAGGGGGCGGGGCTTATGTGACATCACCAATCGACCATTCATTTGTCTTCGGGGGGCGATGACGATTGTCCTTAGAAATTGTTTTAACTGTAATTCTTTCATTTATGAAATTATAGCAATTTGAATTTTTTTGGCGAGTGCTCGAACTTTGAGGTCTGGCCCCGCCCCTTCAGTATTTACGAAAAGTCAATTTTATTTTCTCATTTGAATCGTCCATCGCTTCTGTTCGATAGTACACTATTTTTGAGACAATCGTGCGAAAAATGACCAAACTGTTCAACCAAATGTAGACCCTAGAAATGGCCAAAACGGCTAAAAATCTCCATTTCAACCCAAAATGGCCGACTTCCTGTTTGATATTGACCATGGTTGCAAGAGACTTTTCTGTGCGGACTGTTGAGTACTACAAGTAAACCAAATTTCATAACTGTACGATAAACTAAGCTTTATGGAGAGGGGTATTTTTCACTTTCTAGAGGGCGCTGTTCAGCCACTTTTTTATGAACTTTCACATCGCCAGTGAAATACGTAAATTTCACGCACTTTCTATATTGGGCCAGAATTTGGTGACTTTTTGGATATGCTAAGACCCCCTAAAGGCCACCCAAAGACGCGGAAGAAAAAAAATAATAATAATAATAAATAATTAAAGCTGCAAGCAGCGTCGTTCGGCCCTCGCAGCGAAGCTGCTCGCCCTCCGTCCTTACCCCCTCCGCTCCATCCCCAATGCTCTCAAAACCCAGCACCCCGCCGCTCCTTCCTGACCAGCAGCCCGGGACAACAGGGCGCGTCAGCAGAACAGAAACGTCCACCAGAACAGAATTCACCATGGCATCAAAGCCCCTCCCTTTCTGAAAAGCTATCAGATCTGAATGGTCATTACAACATCATGAAGACAGTGCATGACCTTTGTGTCATGTTGACTAAATTAGAGGGG